TAATGTTCTATAATTAAAGTATTGTTCAAGTCAAGTCCTGGTTAAGTACTGAACATTATGAAGAGTAGCTTATCGAAAGGAAGCTTTGTGTGAAGTCACTTTTTCAGTATTATCGGTCTTTGCAAACAATTTTTAACTCTATTATAGATAATTGAGATTAGGTTTGGGCATTCGGGTATGCGGGTCGGGTTCGGGTAAAACCCGATCGGGTACGGGTCTTTCGGGTAGAGGAGTTTAGGACCCAATAGGGTAAATCTAAAATATCGGTTCGGTTTCGGTTCGGATCTAATCGGGTTCGGGTCGGTTCGGGTTTAGATTTTTAGAACCGCTAAATACCCAAAAAAATCGGGTACCCATCGGGTTCGGGTATTTTATACCCAAATACCCAAAATTTTACCAAATACCCGAATTTTATCCGAAATTTTATCCTAATATCCGAATTTTATCCGCAATTTTACTCTAATATCCGAGTTTCACCCGAAAATTTATCCGAATAACCGGAATTTTTTCCAAATATTTAAAAAATTTACAAGCATCTCGCGTATAAATATATTTTGTCTTAAATATTTAAATATAAGTGCATTTAGTTTTTGGTAACTATTCTCGGATATTTAGATATAAATGTATTTAGCTCAAATATTACATATATAAAAAGTTTTATATGTATAAGTATATGTAATTTCGGGTAATCGGGTACCCGTTCGGGTATCGGGTTCGGATCGGGTTTTACCCTATACCCACGGGTACGGCAATACAAGACCCAATAGGGTAAATAGCTAATACCCGTACCCGCCCCGAACCGGTTTTTTCGGGTCGGTTTCGGTTCGGATACTCGGGTACGGTTTTTTTGCCCAGGCCTAATTGAGATCATAAAGTACCCACAATCAAATTGTTTAATAACTAATAAGTGCCAAATTTACAAAAGGAATTGAACCAAATATTAACCAGACTCTACGTCCCCCTTCCATGGATGTCCTAAGAAGAAATAAAAAGAGAGCTTCCTTATATAAGAGCTCCTGGGATGATGCTTATCTGAAGTGTTTTTTGTGGGCTGCTGATAGTATGTTTAGCCATAGGTTCACCAGGATTGTCTTTGCTTTTGAAGACCCCTCGCTGGTGAGTGCTATTAACAGGCCTAAAGCCTGGCTTTCTTTTAGAATGCAGGTCTCAGAGTTGGAGAATGCGTTGAAAGTTTTTTTGGAGTGGGTGGTAGTGTTAGAATCGAGATCAATGAACAGAGGACCCTATCTCATTGCCCAAAGTGTGACGAAGTACAACTTGGCTCACTCTTATGTAGCTACCGGTCATCCGGATTGGCTACATGATCTCTTTGTTAGTGAGATGGGGTGTTCCTCTGTTTAGTCCTTTCTATTGGCTTTTTTTGTTTGCTGAGGTCTGTTTGACCTTTCGAATAGCCATTCTTTTGTATAGCTTGAGGTAAATGTGTTCTGGTTTGATATCAGCACCTGTTGCTCAAATTTTGTATCTCCTCTTGATCAATATATATTTTACAGATGAAAAAAAAAAAAGCAAGAGCAAACAGAGAACCAACAAGTAAAGAAGGTAATTTACATGTGTCATCAAATTTTACATGTCTAATAAACATGATTAATGGCTATCAGCTACTTAAAATTAAATAACGTTTGACCATAACTATTGTTTCCAATATGACAGTCAAATAATTTTTGTGATAAAAGTACAGTCAAATAATAATAAATAAAAAAGAAAACCTTATCCGAAAAGTATAAATCACATACTTAAATAACGTAGCTCGTAGCATAACTATTGTTTTCAATATGACAGTCAAATAATATTTTTATAAAATGATAGTCAAATAATATTTGTTCAAACAAATAATGATAAATAACTTTATTTCTATAACTTGATCGCCCCATAATTATATAAATCTCCTTTCAGTTGTCTCGAAGTTTTTCATCAAGTTCTATCAACAATATTCAGTTTACTAGATTAGAAATTTATTTTAAGAAAAGAAAAATGGCAAAGACAGCTTCTTCACTTGTTCTCCCCATCATCTTCCTTGTTATGTTTGCTTTAGGTATGCATTTATATTAATGTTTATTCGTAAATGTATATTCAAAAGTAAAAATTACTTTACCTTCGGCTTTACTCATCGAGATATTCCCCAATTGTTATAGTTCATATTGTGATGTTAGCCTTAGTTAGTATGCATTTACCTTTATGGTTTATTCATAACAATATTCAAAACTTTTCATATATTCATCAGAATATATATATATATCATTAAGATTTTTCTGTTCGATGTATTGATTTCTCGCAAGTAGTATTAACTTTTTAATTTGTTATCTAAATATAAAAACGGTTTTGTGGATATAGTTGCGCAGAATATGGGATGCATGGCAGTTCTTGGCTCGTGTGGTGTTATTAGTGACTGCAGTATGGCTTGCAAGTCTAAATTTGGATCAAACGCACGTGGCTACTGTGACCGAGATGGTGGTTCTGGAACATGTGTTTGCGTTTATCCTTGTCCGGCTGATAAGTCCCATACGTTATAGATACATGTAGTACTATAAAATCAAAAATTCTTCAAAATGTATAATTAGGAACACAATATTAATGTCAAAACCGTGATGCACGTTTTTCGTGATATTTTTAAAACTATATTTTGGATCGAGACTTTGATATCAAGAAAAAAAAGTAGCACACAATATGCTTGTATGCATGTTGGTGGGGATTGCGTTTTTATCTGTGTTAACCATCCTCTTTTCATGTGTGTTATCCAGCATCTCTTCATAAATGTTTATATATAAATTAAACATGTTTGACTTAAAAGTATTAACATAAATAATTTTATTTTATAAAATAGTATGTGTTTGAATGATATAATCAACCCCGTTCTATAATGTTTCTAACATATATCATACATATATTTCTTAAATTCTGAAGTATAACAACATGACTTCATGGAAAAGACTGCAAACGGGCAGCAAACAAATGTACAAGATTATTTTTTTTAATAACATTATTATGGGTGGACAAAGCCCGACCCTTATCTCCATCTATATTTTGTGGGATAACGCGATTTACTAAATCAAACTCAATTGAAAAAAAACTGCAAAGATCATGAACCATTAACCATTTGAATAAAACTATATTTACCAAATTTACAAAATGGCTATCTTTACAAAATTTATCTTAGTTAGTATTTTATGTTAGCCGACTAGCAATAAGCCAATAACCAATCATTCAACTATATATGCTCAATCGATCCATTATCTTTAGTAGTTTAGTTATAGAATTATGATCAGAGTATTCTGAATCGAACACAATATACGAATATTAATATTCTCATAAAAGATTACAACTACAAACCTCAATTACAAGTGGAAGTCCACTTGGCCCATTGGTTGACTAAGGGTTAATTAATGCTTCTACACCAAGAGGTCTGGGGTTCGAGTCCCAGATATTGCGATTTATTAATAAATTTGCAGATTAAAGGAGGCAACGCTGCAGGATATCTCCAGCGAAGTACAATTATAGCCGTTCGCCAGGATTCTACGCAGAGAGGGAAGTGTCGTCAGGTCGTGGATCATTGAAGGTGTCCGTCTAGAGCATGGAGAAGGAAGTGTCGTCTGTCGTGGATCTAATAAGGGTCAGAAGGAATTGTCCGTTGTAGAATCGTCTATGTAACAGTTCTCATAATTTGCAATAAATAATAAATAATAAAAAAAAAAACCTCAATTACAAGTATTGCAAGTTTCTAAATATTTTTTACAATTTGTGATTTTTTGTATTTTAATAATTCCCATGCTTCCACTTTTGCTCTTTCCTTTTTTTTTATTTATTTTGATATCATCTAATATGTTTATATATGTTGTATATCTCCATTTTATAAATCAAAAATTTTTAATTTTCAGATTTAAAAGTTAAGGTTATTAATGATTAAAAATTTTATTACTTTAATTTACAGTTTTAGAAATTCAAAATGTAAAAACTTTCTTTTCCAAAACAGATATGGTTCTATATATATATATATATATATTTTAAATATCTTTTTAGTGGCCTCTTAGTTTTTCAGATTTATCAACTAAAATGACTCTATAATTAATCAGTTTAAAGAGAAGAAAGAAAACACTAGCAATAATAATTATTGGTCAAACAAATAATGGAAAATGATTGTATTCTAAACTTGGTTATTTCATTTCATATTGCAATAAATCCCCATCATCTTCCTTATTATATTTGCTTCCGGTATTCGTTTATCTTAAGCTTTTTTATATATTAAAATAAACTTTTTCACCAATATTCATTGGTGTATACCAATTTTTATAATTTTGGTAATTATATTCATTGCGATGTTAGCTTTAAATATACATTTTAAAATAATAATTTTTAGTTTCGGCTATATTCATTGGTGTATACCAATTTTTAGTTCAATATAGTCATTTCTCCTAATTACAAATAACTTTTTGCTGTCGATCTATATCTTTAAAAATGGTTTTGTTGGATGTGTAGTTGAGCCAAATATGGGATGCATTCAAATTATTGGCAAATGCATTAAGATTCCAGACTGTAGTGCGTCATGCAGGAAATTCCTTGGGCCACAGGCAAGTGGCTTCTGTGACAACGATGGTGCTGGTGGAACATGTATTTGTACTTACCCATGTCCGACTAAGGAAACGCATATGTGATTTCTGATGTACATTGAAATCTCAAATTCTCCAAATTATATAGGTAGAAATCAAAATTCAAAATAATGTCAAGATCGTAGGTACTACGGTTTTTTTGTAATATTGTTAGAGCAATATTTTGCAATCGACAATTTGGTATCAATATAAGTTACGAGAAAATGATATTTTCAATTGGATATTAGAGTTGTGAACTGTCGTGCCATCTTGCAGTGGCGGATCCAGAAACTATTTTTATATGGGATACGCTTAGGTTAAGGGTGTGCCCTATATATATCAAATACGTGAATCGGATTTTTCAAAATTCGCCATGTTCTCTCTGATTTTTTTTAAAATATTTCGGATATTATCGGATTATTTTGATAGATTCGGATTCAGATAATACTTGAATCAAACAATATCCAAAACATATAGGTTCTAGACTTGTTCTCCAATCAATTATCCGAACTGACTTGGGCCTAAAATAGGCATGACATTCGGATATTGGTTTGGGTTCGGTTTGGAAATTTTGGTACTAGAAGTCAAGGTATCATTCATGCATTTTAAAATTTCAATTCGGCTACGATTCGATACTTTTCGGGTTCGGGCGATTTGAATAGCTGATTCGAGAACCAAAATTGATATTTTTCGGATATTGTTTGGTTCGAGTACTTTTTACATGATTCGACCCAAAAAACCTGAAAAATATCTAAAATATTAAATACCCAAAAACCTCATAATTTAGTCCAATGAAAAAGGTATAATAGAGGAGTAAAATTTTATAAGTACTGTTTGAGTCAATTACTTTGGTCTTTGTACCCAAACCTATCAAAATTACCCAAGATGTCTGATTAAGCCGGCAAATAAATTTTAGAGGGAGTAACATGTTTAGTTGAATTTGAGATATATCTAGGTAACCGTTCGGTTTCGGGTATTATATTATCGAAACGAAACGATACCTTAAGTAGCTGAAGAGAAGATCCAACTAAGGGGTGTTATTGGTTTGTGATTTAAATAGAGTTTTAGTTACTTAAAATGTTATGTAGAATATGTTGTTATTCAATATAGATTTCTTAAAAATCTGTTAAAGTTTGGTGTTATTAATTTAAGATTTGTAAAAAGTAATCTAAAATCTTCATAAATCTGAGTTATTGGATTCATACTTTTATAAAGTCAATAAAAGTTTTGTGTTATTCAATTAAAACAAAAGAATCCATGATTATTAATGAATTAAATTATTATGTTATTGGTTTATGACTTTCTACACTTTTCTTCACAAAATATAGTCATGTAAAGTATCATCAAAATAGAGAGATTGTTTGGGAAACTTTACAAGATTATGAAAAACTAATCAACAAGATTATAAAAAACTCTCTAACAATAGTTTAATTTCTTTCATTTGTTTACTTTCTATGATTTTATTAAACTCATCAAGATTCTTTGTAAATTAGGAACCAATAAAACCCCCTAAATATTTTAGATGAACGGAACCTGAGTACAAATGACAAATCCATAAATATTATTACCTTTCAAATCCCTAATATTCATTTAAACAATAGTTTCTATATCTCTCTCATAAAACAAAACATCTCACCTGACCAAAAAAAATGAAATCATAACCTCTGTTTTGACCGATAATCATATTTTCTATGGAAGTAACTTTATTGGTCATACCAATTTTTGCAATAAATTGATGTGTTTGAAAATCATAATTACATTAGCCTATTTGTGGACAAAATCTTAATGTTCTTTTGACCAAATGTTTCTTTTAAAAGTTTTGAAAAATTTTCTTTTAAGTTGAAGTCCATGATGCATTATAATGATGTCCCAATAACATACAAGCAAGCACTTAAGAGAGATATAAGTTCAGCAAAAAAAATCTAGGAAGGGAGAAAAATATGGAGAGGATGACATCAATTGTCTTCATTGTTAACTTACTTATCATTTTTACGTCAGGTATTATATAATCTTCTATATATCTTTCAACTGTTCTGTTTTTCTTTTGAAAATTCATTTAACACATATTTTCTTACATTTTAAAATGTTCAAAAATACAACTTTATGATCAGAAAAAATGAATTTTGGCATAACTACTTGTTTTTGTCATGAATAGGGATTTGATCGTTTATTCCCTGAATGAAATAAAGTAGGCCATCGGATTTTGGATTTTTTTTTTAAAGATATTAGTTTTGACAAAAAAAAAAAGGATATTAGTATGATTGTGATATGATATTTTTCTAGCGATTAAGTTTTACAAATATAACACATATAAGACCTAATATGTCTTAGCCATAAAAAATGATAACAAATAAACTAAAATATTTATTTATGTTTAATTTAATAATAAATACAATGTTACAGTTGTGAATCAGACTAGAGCAGATACGTGTACAGATGGATTAGGTCTTTGCAACGGCTGCGATGAGAGATGCAAGGCCAAGCACGGACCATCGAGCGAAAGCAACTGTGATCGCAGTATTGGGGTAGGGCTATGCGTGTGCTACTACCAATGTGGATCCCCATCACCACCCGTGCAGAAGAAATGCAACGGTGGGGCTGGTATATGTAGTCAAAGATGTCAAGGAACATGTTGTGATATGAACTGTGCACAAAAGTATAATGGTGGACATGGATTTTGTAACACTCTTGGTACATTTAGTTTGTGCCAATGCGAATATCCTTGTTAAAGTCGGTTGACAAAAGGTCCTTAGTGTTGTACGTTGACATCATCATATCAGTAAACGTTTTGAAATTAACCTTTTGAATGAGCTAAAAATGATTTTTTCCATACATGTTTTTGTTACTAAAGGTTTAAAACATTTGAAGTCAGACTTCGGAATAAACCATAAATGGATTTCCATAAATATCGTAGATATTAGAGGAAATTGATCAAACGTTGATTTTTATATTTCTATAAGACTTTCTTTTGACTACAAGAATGTTCAAACATGCTTTTTTTACTTATCGATGTACCAAATCAACAGATTCTAATTTTTTTAAGCTTATAATCAAATTGAATTGTAGATATTTACCCCCAACAAATATTAAATGTAAGATATTAATCAAAAATAATTAATCTAAACGTAGATATTTAGATTGATTAGATAAAATACTGATATATTGGCCGAATATAAATACTTATCGATGATGAGATTCCACTAGGTGTCAGTTTAATTAGTATCATACATGTATGTTGATGCACGAATTTCAACTAAGTATTTGTAAATTTTTTGATAAGGGAAAAAAATGATTCTCATTGAGTTGAAGGTCGGGAGTTAGGTCGTTCTCGCGACAAACATGGAGTTTATTAATTTTCTAGCTACAGTTTGTGAACGACTGCCTACGTACCCTTAGAAAGGCCATATTTGCAGTTAGACCATCTGTTGACGAGCAGGATAGTTTGGAGACGATTTGGACGAACTGAGTAGTCAACTGAGAAGTTGGACGAGCTAGGAGACGAGATGGAAGATCTGGACAGTTAGACGACCAGTTGGACGAACTGAGCTGGCAGCTGAGGAGCTGGACGAACTGCGTGGGCAGCTGAGGAGCTGAACGAACTGGGCAGTCAGCTGAAAAGCTGGACGAGCTGGGCAGTCAGCTGAGGAGCTGGACGAGCTGGGCAGTCAGCTGAAGAGCTGGACGAGCTGAGCAGTCAACTGAGAAGTTGGACGAGCTGGAAGACGAGATGGACGATCTGGACAGTTAAGCGACCAGTTCGACGAACTGAGCGGGCAGCTGAGGAGCTGGATGAGCTGAGCAGTCAACTGAGAAGTTGGATGGGCTAGGAGACGAGATGGACGATTTGGACAGTTAAGCGACCAGTTAGACGAACTGAGCGGGTATCTAAAGAGCTGGACGAGCTGAGCAGTCAGCTGAGGAGCTAGACGACGAGATGGACGATCTGGGTAGTTAGGCGAGCTGAGGAGCTTGAAGACGAGTTAAAGAGCTTGAAGGCGTTTTAAGTATGAATTTCTTCTCCCTTTTTTTCCCCTTTCTTCAATGAGATGTCCCTTTATTTATTTATAAGAAAACTAAGCTGGTGATAGAATCATGGACCAACTTTTATGGACTTTTTGGGCTTTATGTTGATTAAGTTAATCTTGATTTGGGTCGAGATAAAATGAAGGGTGCAATCCATCCCCCAACAATGTATATGAAATTTTGGGTCAAAACCCATGATCTCATTGGACTGGTGATCAATACAAGTACAATTTATCATTCATTTTTGTGCGTTTTCAAAATATTCATCTGTTCGCGTCAAATTCCAGATCTAGCAAATAAAAATTAATATTTGCTTGAATTTTCAGCATCACAAATACAAACAATGAACATGAATAGTTGCAACTTTTGAGTAATAATAATAATAATTTATATATTACTAGTTTTAACACATCCGAGTTGAAACATGAAAAAACAAAATTGATCGGTTTTGCTTATTCTAGAACATTTAAACAGTTTTAGCAATTATATTGGCATTTGCACAAATAAGTATGGCCAATGCTGTCACAAAATCCAGTTCCTTGATTATACTTTTGCGCACAGTTTTGGTTGCAACACTGAGGCCCACATTTATCGCTGCATACGCCAGCCCCACCATAGCATTTTTTGGGCTGCGGAGGCGATGGACCCTGACCGCACGGGTAATAGCACGTGCATAGTTGAAACTTGGGGTCGCAACCGCCTTTGGCCGCTGGTCCGTGGTTGGCCTTGCATCTCTCATCACATTGCTGACAATTACCAAGACCCTCTGTGCATGTATTTGCTTTTACCTTATTTTCAACTGTAAAAGAGTATACATAATTAGTTTTCTTTTTTTCTTAGTATACACAGAGAAATAAACCATTGGTGGAATCTATTACAATTTACAAGTAACGGAATTGCATATTATTGTGAAAGTTTTGTGCTTTGTCACAAATCAAGGATAATGATCGTGGTTTTTCTTAATTGAGATTACAAATATATGCTAGGCAACCAAGTTGGATTATCTTTTGGTAAGAAAAAAATTAGAATAATAAAACTTAAAAATTTAACAAAGAATTGTTTTTTTTCTTAATATTTTCATACTAATATTTACGGCATAATTATTTGAAAAAAAAAATAGAAATGATACCGGAAGCAAGCATGATAGAGAAGATGATGGAAACCATATATAAGTGAAAGTGACTTCTCCATTGTTTTCTAAGTTTTTTTTAAAAATCTTTTTTGAAAATTATTGGTTGAGACAATTATTAATATATCAATGAGACATTTAGTTTGTCTATATATAATGTTATGCCCCATTAAGAAAGTAATATTTGTTATTCTGTTCCCAAAGTAAGGGCATTACTACTGAATGTTTTGAAATCATGTTGCTTCTTGTAGACTTAGGGGGTGTATTGGACTTGGTATTTTAGAAGATTTAGTGGCATTTAGGATATATATATTTAGGATATATTAAACTAGGGGAGATTTGAGTGAATTTAGGATATTTGGTTGATTTATTAGATTTTTTGTTTTAAAAAATTTAGGTGATTTGGTTAGATTTATTATTATTTTGGGATTTTTCATGTTATACATATTATTTTTTTGGAATCCCACCTCCAGACCAGAAATAGGATTTTTCATCTCTAATTTACAAATAAAAAAGGTATTTTAAGTCTCCTAAAATCTGTTTCCATATTTTTGTTAAGTTTTAAATAACAAAAATCTGTTATGGTTCTTATAAATCATGGACTGAATAACAAGAGATTTTCTAATATTTTGAAAGATTTTAAGCAAATTCTAAATTCAATAACATAGGATTTTGAAAGACATTTTAAAATTCTTATTGAATAACACATAATTTAATAAGAAAAAAAAATCAAAATCCTCCAAAAATTCTTAAGGTTTAAAACATCTGAATAGGCTATATATAAATTTCCATATTTCCTTTCTTTTCCTTTAACAAATTGGTTGAGACGATCTTATTATATAAAGTATGGTTTTCAAAGTTAATAACTCATATGATCGTGACACGTGACAAATCTATTGATTTTAGATTTTGACACGTGTAAAACAAAAATTTCCTTTTAAAAAAAAAAAAAAAAGATAATTGAAAGTAATTACAAATTTAAATAATTTTAAAAATGTAAAAGATAATTATAAGAATAATTGTAAATAATTCATATTTCTATAAACAAATTTAAAAAATGTCAAAAGATAATAATAAAGAAATTATACGTTTTTTATGTTTCAATTAAACAAGAAAAAAATCAGGCAATTTTATTAAAAAGAAAACATATGTTATTATATATTAATTTAAAATTTGATATTATTTATCTCAATTTCTTTTTCAATTAGAAATATGTGATGATTTAATTAAACTAATCCTCATGTTATTTATTTGAGTTTATTTTTTTAATTAGAAATATGTGAGATCAATTTTTTTTTTCCTTTTTGTAATATTTTTTTTACTTAACTATTTTTTTTTTGTCCTCAATTATGATTGTAGTATAGTTAGATTGTTTATTTTAATTTCTCTTTTCATATTTAAATTATCAAAGATTCATATATCATCGTGTTTATAATTTTTTATTTTTAGTTTAACTGTCACATCTTTAAATTATTTATTTTGGTTTCTACGTTCAGTTTAAATTACATAAGATTTATAATATATCATAGTTCTAATGATTTTAGATAGTGACATGTGTCATGATTTAAATTACAAATTTACATTATTAATATCAATATTATTTTCTAATTAGAAATATGCGATGATTTTAAGTAAAGTTTATATTGTTTTATTTGAAATTCTTGAATATGTAAGAAGCTTCTTTTTTGTTTTTGATATTTTGAATTTAATTATACTATTTCAAAATTGTTTATTTCAATTTCTATGTTCATATTTGAATTATATAAGATTCATATATCATCGTGCTTATAATTTTTTGAATTTATTAATTTTTATTGATTGATCATAAAGTTATTGCAATTATCGAGTATATAGGAACCGAACCCGCAACGTTAGCTTGGAAGGCTAAAGAATTTAGTCGATTTATCATCTTTATATTTTTACGTGTCTAATTAAACACCACTTTGGTTTTATTCACCAACTTTATGATGAATATTTTTAATTTTTGTTCTTCGTATAAGTATACCATAAATTATTGTTATGTGATATATCTTTCATTCGAAATAATTTTGAATTAATAATTTTAGTGGTTAAAGAAACAAGGCAACAGTGAAAAAGTAAATATTGTTTTTACTTTTGAAAGAAAATTTGTACTTACAACGTTGTTAATTAATTTTTTGTTAAATTTGATTTTAATTTTAAAAAAAAATAAACCCGTCCATCGGACGGGTCCTTATCTAGTTTTTAATATATCACTGGAACATTAAGTTGGTCTTATATATTATGTAATGCCCCAATCAAAATTCTGGATCCTTAGTGGGCTATTTATGTTCGTAAGAGTTAGAACTAATATGTATATGGGCTTTATATGCTCGATCCGTTTCGTATTAAACCCAATTTTGAAATTAGATAATAGTTTTGCATAATTCCAAACAATTAATAGCCCATATAATTAAATATCTTGAGAAGAATACTCGATCAACACTACTTGTTCCGATTGTTTACTAAAACATTCACCGATCGAATCTGATGTCATGTTTTAATCAAAGAACACAAAATATTTTCTATTGTACTTGCGTAAATTTAGCACTAAGAAATTTATTCACGCGGTGGTTGTAAATCTCGAGATTAGTAATTATATTTTAGGTATAGAAAACAAAAAAAAAAGAATTTGGTTGTGGAAAAAAAAAATGAAAGTATGGACACGTGGACAAAGAACGTGAAAGAGAAGACAATGACAGATTTAGTTTTTATTATTGTGAATATGAAGAGGACACATGCATTGATGTTTCTTCACGTAAAGAAAGGCCTTCGAGTTGGCATTTCCTTGCCTCACGAATCTTTGTCTACCTCGTGCCTCTTTTTAATTCTCTTGTCCTCTTTTTAATCTATTATTTGTTTATTTATATTAAAAAAAATAGTATTCAAAGTGCCACAACGTTCGCTACTCTGTCTCTTCTCCTCTTTGACTTTTGTCACACTTGTCTCTGTCGATATTGTCTTAACTCAACCATGGTTAACAAAAGTTTTGTTGCAAAACCCTATCTATCAGCATTTCAATATTATTTAATTTTTCCTGATAGCTTATATATTATGATCGCCAGTTGATTAACTTGACTTCTTTGGTTAATTAAATGATTAATCCAAATCAAGACTACCCCATGTATCTCTCGTTTTGCTGTTTGTTTTCTCTTATGATCTTGTTGGGATTGTGAATTGTGAACATGTGTGGTTCAAGAGTCAACTTCATACGTAGAGTTGTCACAATCACTTTTTGATTAAAACCCCTAAAGTTTTGATTTTATTCAGATATGCAATTAATGTTTATATCTCTTTTTGTATACAATGCTCATATTATTTCTTTTAAGCCACAAGAATTGAGTTTTGGTATCATTTAATCATGACATGTAACTGGATTTTAAAATATCTTTCGAGTATTTGCACCGTTCATGATGTCCATCACTCTCAATTATCAGTCTTAATCATTTTTGTATTGATGTCTAGAAGCGTCGTCAGATTAGGTCTGAGAGTGGACAAGTCATTTTACAAATTTTTTTTTTGCAGATCCATCATGATTAAGACTTGATATTGGAACATTATAGGACATTAGTTTGGAACAGAAAAAAAAGTGAGTCCGGCTTCATATATAGGATTAAAGACTAAAAAGTGAAAAAAGTGCTAGAACTTTTGGTCTTTTACATTAAATAAGAAAAGAAAATAAAGCGAGTTTAGAACTACATTGACTTTGAGAACCAAGAAGCGAATATAGAGTACGTACTTCCGATATTCATTTAATTAGTAGGGTGAAGATGATATGGAATTTTCGTTGTGTATACATTGGAATCTGAAAATATTATAAATATATAGTTTTAATTTGAGTTATAAATGAAAAGTGGGAGATCCAACTTAACTTAGGTGTTGAGGACTTTGTGTTTTGTCAAACATAGGATCCGACCGTTGTTTGTTGTGCATGTGCCTAGAGACATGACCTTCGCATCACCCTAACTAATTGTCTTCCAGATTTTTATTACTTTTCATACCTCTCAACAACTTATTGAGCCCAAGAAACAAATAATGATATATTCAATGAAAAGAGAAAGATCAATGCAATGACATTATGAATATAGAAGCAATGCAACCACGCTTTGAGGCTTTTCGATTTATGCGTGTCATCCTAATAATTCGATCTGCAGTTTGTAGACAAAACTAATTAAGCAATGCATTTTAGATTAGTTCTAATAGGTTTTATCAAACAATAATCATCAGAGTTAGATTTACACTAGTATAGTGAGTTTTACAAACATGTCATAATTTGCCGGCAAAACTTTGGATCTTAAATTCGGTTTAGATATGTTACTATTGATTTAGGTTATGCTTAAGAATTGACTGCCTAGTGAGGATTATATGAAGACTTAATGGAAAAAAAAAACCCTATATGATTAAAGAAGCTTTTCAAGAGAAGAAGAATCTATTTTATTTGCAAATAGATTGTGAATTGCATTTTGAAAATTACATAAATCCAAAAATGTGGAACTAAAATAAACAAAAAAAAAAAAAAAAAAACTTAAAGATTCTTCAATCTTTGACTTTTGACTTCCAAGCTCCAACAAAACACTCTGCCAAATTTATATTACAACGCTCTCGCTGCCTTGTTCCGTCAGAATCGTCAATCTCCGAGCTGTCTTCAAGAACTCACTGCCAAAGATCACAAGACCAACAACTATAAGATGTTTTTTTAAAAAAAACTTCATCATCAAATATCAGGAAAAATATGACAATCTGTCTATAATAAATGTACCTGAAAGGTTCGTTTCCTGCGTATTTGATGGCTCCTGATGCATCCCTATAGAGAACAGAGCTCAACATCTCAGACTTTTTGATTCCAAACATGTCAGAGAGTTTCCGACTCAACTCTTCGTAAGAACCAAGAACCGATAGGTCTAAGGTTCGACCCACATCATCTGACTCCATAAACACTTTACAATGCCCTGTTTCCAAACCTGATGCATCATGAACTTTGTTGGAGCAAGGTGATCCCTCGTCTGAGGAAGATAATTCCCTTCCCGCAACACCGTTCTGGTTT